GGTAGAAAAGCCACACTGAGTAATTTACTACACCGCAGGTACAGTACTTACAGAGTTGTGAGGATTAGATAAGGGGTGTAAGGACAGCACCTGGTATTTCATGAATAGTCACATGTTCGCTCCTGTTATTATTAATTTTTAGGCTGAGCCTGCTTCTTAGTTGTGTTTGTATACTCTGTCAGCTGATGCCTGATGACAAGCCTACCATCCCTGAGACCGATGTCACTGATGGCATTTGCATGTCTAGTATTAGGCACAGTATCCCCCTGAGCCTGTTGGTGCCCCACATTTTATTTTCTCTATAATTCTTATTCCATAATTAGTTTAATTGTATGTGTTTTACAGATGAATGATGTGCTAAAATTTCAAGGAAAATAATGCATCAGTACTTTACTGTTTGTATTAGTATTTATTTAAGGAGATGACTTGGTTTCACAGAGAAAGTGATGAACTAGGAGTCAGGAGATAGGGGTTTTATCCCATTTTTGCTGTTGATTAGTTTTACGTCTTTGGGCAGCTCAGCTTCTTTGTCACCATCTGAAAAATGGCAGAATTTTGATATTAACAACCCTCTTCAGAGTTGACTTGACGACAATGGGTCCCCCCCTCCCCCATGGGAATATTTTCTTATTCTCATATCTCAGAAGATATTTAGTTACTCAGTGTAACGATTTTTGTAGAATAATGGTACTTGATTTCCTTACAAGTGTTTGCTTTATATTGAAAATTTAATTATTGCTTCCTCTGTTTCAGCTTCGGGCTCAGAATCAGGTCCTGAAAAAAGGAGTTGTGGATGAACAAGCAAATTCTGCTGCTTTAAAGGTATGTGACAGGGTATTTGTGTTGTGAGGGCTAAGTTCATGGGTACTGGCTCTGTGCAGGGAATTCAGTCAGTTTTCTGGGTTAAAGTCCCAGCTCTGACACTTATTCATAAGGATCAGAGGAAGGTTAATATAGTTTTTATGTTTGTTTAATATTCCTACTTGATTTTCTTAGCTGAAAATTAACAACAACAACAAAAAGGTATGATCTGACTTTATCTAATGAATTTCTCCTCTACCTCAAGGTCTTTATTTAGGTAAACTGATCTGGATTAATGAGGCTTCTAATCTGTCTTCATCACTAAATGGAGCTCTCAGGGGATGGGAGGGGTGCACTGTGTCATAATCTTATTTATGTCGCCAGAACTTAGCGCATAATAAAACCCACTGCTGGTGAGTTGATTCCTACTCGTAGTAACCCTATACGACAGAGTAGAACTGCCCCATAGGGTTTCCTAGCCTGTAAATCTTTATGGAAGCAGACTGCCTTATCTTTCTTCTGTGGAGCGTCTGGTGGGTTCAAACTATGGACCTTTTGATTAGCAGCCAAATACATTAACCACTGTGCCACCAGAGCTCCTTTAGTACATAAAAACCAAACCAAACTCACTGCCACCGAGTCAATTCTGACTCATAGTAACCCCTTTTGGATTTCCGAGGTAGTGAATCTTTACGGAAATAGATTACCCAGTCTTCCTTCTGCAAGGTGGCTAGTGGGTTTGAACCGTCAGCCTTCTGGTTAGCAGTCAAATGTCTTAGGCATTATGCTACCGGAGCTCCTTTTTTAGCACATAGTAGACCCGTAATAATAGATGAACATTTTTGAGTCATTTAGTCCATTCATCTTGCCTTTGGGTTCAGCTATTTAGGAGTAAAAGTCTGTGTTAATCAGGACACTTGGTTTGCATGATATATTTCACTATCAGCACCTTTGTTAACTGAGGAAAGAAATACAGGGAATGAAGGAATTTATTTCTACTTCATTCTATTCAAACCAGAATCCAAACTCACTGCCATTGAGTGGATTCCTTCATTCTAGTCAGCATGTAATAAATATTGCCTAAGAGATTTTTAAAACAGACTAATAAATTTTAGGGTATGGATTCCTTCTTGGCCAAGTTTTAGTTACCTATTCTGCCTACCAATGAGCTCTGGGTACATTGGTTAAAGCATTCAGCTGCCAATCAAAAGGCTGGTGGTTTGAACCTACCAATCATCGGATGGGAGAGAGATGTGGCTGTCTGTTTTTATAAAGATTTATAGATTTGGAGGACCTGTGGAGGAGTTCCACTCTGTCCTATAGGGTTGCTATGAGTAGGAATTGACTTGACAGTGAAGGGTATTCTGCCTTCTTTACTCTTCGCCCTCTTCCCTTGCTTCCTCCACTGCCACCTTTAGACAAAAGGGATGAGGATTCTCTTTCCTCTTATTTCTTTGAAAGGTAGCCCCTACCAGTGATAATTCCCAGGTGGGGCTATTCAGGTAGCCAGGACTCAGAAATATGTCCCCTGTATAGCCAACAAAGTTGTATCCTTTCATCATACTTATTTACCTTGTATGCTGAGCACATAATCCGAGATGCTGGATTATATGAAGAAGAATGTGGTATCAGGATTGGAGGAAGACTTGTTAACAACCTGTGCTATGCAGAAGACAGAACTTTGCTTGCTGAAAGTGAGGATGAGTTGAAGCACTTATTGATGAAGGTTGAAGACTACAGTCTGCAGTATGGATTACATTTCAGTATAAAGAAAACGAAAATCCTCACAACTGGTCCAATAAATAGCTTCATCCTGGATGGAGAAAAGATTAAAGCTCTCAAGGATTTCATATTACTGGGTTCTACAGTCAATATCAATGGAAGCAGCAGTTAAGACATCAGACGATGTATTACATAGGGCACATCTGTGCAAAAGACCTCTTTCAAGTGATGAAGATCAAAGATGTCTCCTTGAAGACTAAGGTGCACCTAATTTTCAAGCCTTGGTATTTCCAGTCACCTCTTA